GGAAATTGTCATTCTGGTATTGCCTTCTCTGTTTTGTATGATGGCTTTCCCCTCTTAAATGATACCCTTGATTTGCTTCACAGTCTTGTAACAATCTATACTCCTAATTCAGATAGGCTGAAGGAGCTATAGCTCTCCAATCATCACAGCTGTACTTATCTAGGCTATTATCGGGATATAATTAAGTATTTCCCTATGTGCCTGTGTTTGTGGATGTCCACACCCTCCTCTTAGACCTGCCATGATTTGTCAACCAATTTTATGAAGGTAGGGGCAGCTGTAGAAGGCATCAAAGTTGAGGAGGGGGAACTTCTGGTGTTCTAGATCTTTTGGGAAAGGAACAAAAAGGATGTCTCCAATTATCCTTGTGGGACAGACTTAACACAGCCCTTACAAATAAGTAGCCCTCAGAGACACAAGAGACCTGGACAGAGAGGGAACTGAACAAGTATTACCTTTTCTTCCCCTTTTCTTTTACAAGTTTCCTGTGCTTTGAAACTCACCAATGTTATTTGAAAAAGACCAAGCCGAAGTGGTCAATAAGAGGAGACTGGCTGCTTTCTCTTTCTCTGTGGGCACAGCAAGCTGAGTGCAAGACACTTTTGATCCTGTCATGACCCTGATGAAAAGATGTATGCAGCACTAGCAATCATCTCAAACTCTCACCTCCCTTACTAACTGAAGTAGGAGGTGAGGCATCCACCCTGACACAGCCCCAGTCCAAGAAGTAATCACGCTTGCAGCCCAGCCATAGGCTTTTAGCTCTAATGGCTGTACCTGTTCCTCTATCAGGGGCTGGCTGTGGCTCCATCTGTCTCCAAAACATGTATGCAGTGGTCAGACCTCACCTGCTGACTGCCTCCTGGTGTACCACTAACAGCACTGATAGCAGATATCGTTTCTGTTCTCTCCTGCTGTCATGCCCTATCCCAGAAGCTGTGTGGGTACTGGCAGAGGTGGCAGGGCGCACAGCTATACTGGGGCATTTTAAAATGTATGGGAGGATGGCCTCTTGCTGGTATTGGTGACTGCTGGTTAGGTTGTGATGGTGGAGGGGATCTTGGGAGAGAGGTTTCTTCCTGGGGATGCCATAACCTTCTGTCCTATGAGATGACAGAGGTGTCTCCTGTCAGCGGCTCCTTTCTGGACTACAAGGACCTTTCACTTCACCATGAGCACTCCCAAAGCCCATCATCCAGGTGCCACCAGCAGTATGGTGTATGTATGAAGCACCAGGTATTGGAGAGATCCTTAGGTCAAATTAAGGCAGTTTAGATCATTATGATGAATGCTTCTAAACTTGACATAGAAAGCTTGTCCAGTGCTTTGCTTCTTTTGATGTAATCTTGCCTCTTTTATAAACTGAGGCCAATCAAGTTATTTACTGCCAGTTATTACCTTTCTTCAGTTGAGTATTACCTTGAAACTAGAAAAGAAGCATGTTTTCTCTTTATTTTTCTTTTCTAATAATGCCCATGAAATGTATGAGAAACAAAAAGCTTTGGTCAGCTAGATTTAATGTAAAACCATGACTGTATTACAAATACAATTATCATTGCACTAAAACTGCACCATTAATTTAGCAATGCAGTGAGCTGGCAGTTATATATGCATACAGCTGAAATTCTATGCCTACAAACTGAAATGAGACCTTTATGAAGTAGGAAATTTTGACATATTCAGTCAGATAGTCCAGGTTATAAAATCCTCTTCTACAGAGATTACTCTGGCTCCATCTAGTGATTTTGTCTATAATTAAAGCAGAAGTCCAGCCTGCTCTCCAGGTTTTTTGTTTGTTTTTTGGTTGGTTGGTTTTGTTGTCTTTTGTTGTTTTTAATGGTTTTTTGGTGGTTATTTTTGTTTGTTTGTTTTTTCACAAAATGAGTTAAAATTATTTGTCAGCATTAAGGAGCTTTTGGATCTGGATATCACTTAGTATTTGCTTGGACAATACAAGCGTTGCCTGTTCCTGCACATATCTCAAGTGAATTTTAGCCCAATGAGCTGGGCATGGGCAGGAAGCTGTACAGCCCAAGGATCTTGAAAAAAATCCTCATGTTTACTTCTCACTTTCTCACTTTTCAACTTCTGCTTTCAGTTTAAAATTACTGGAAACATAAGACTTCAGATTCTTAGTTTTTCCCTAATGTACAATTGAGTCAGAGGACTAAAAGGCTTTACAAACTATTACAGAAATCCAAGATGCCTGGGAATCTGTAAAATTACATTTAATATAATCCTCAAATCATCAACTTCATCACAGAATATTGTTATTTGTGTTGGGGAGAGGATCTGTTTGTCTTTGGCTTACTAGGTTCAGCTGAACAAACAGGGGTACAGTTGCTGGGGTTTCTTGTTCCATCCATGGGATAAGGCAGCTGCAAGATCACTTGGCCTTCCAGACTTGTGAATAAACTGATTCTGACACAAGGTCACCTCAGGGCAGAAAACATTAAATGAAAGGATGGTGGCAGTACTCGGATTTCACTCATTATTTTGTATTTCTTAAAAGCTAAAAAAATCTTGTAATTATTTTGTAGTAATGAAACACAATTAACACAGTAATAAACACAAGGGGGGAAGCCATCAGTATGTGTGGTTGAACTGCAGATTGTTTTACTGTACTTTTGGTTAGGGGAATTTCTAACATACTGCTTACTGCAACTATGCCCCTTGGCCTAATTAAGCAAAAATCACACTGCACTGCTTGCTGCCTTCTCTCAACAAAGTACTGGATGCCATAGGGACCAAATCACAGGAAGTTGGTAGTTCTTTCCCCTGCAGTACCTACCACCTGTCAGTCAAGATGGCCCTTTACCACATCTCCTTTGCCCCTCAAGGACAGCCTGTTCCACTCCCTCCCCTCAACCAAAGGATATGGGAAGTGTGAAGCACTTGCCCAAGGCAGCTCCTCCCTTTGGTGACAGCTCAGCTAAAGATTGTGAAGGGAAGATGGATAGGCAGTGATAGCGCTATGGAGACAGCAGTCTCTTGAACCACATAAATACCTAAAGGGAGAGTGTACAGAAGACAGTGTTTGGCTCTTATCGGTGGTGCCCTGTGACAGAACAAGAAGCCATGGGCACAAACTGAAACTTGGGAGGTTCCCTCTGAGCATCAGCAAACACTTTTTTACTGTGAGGGTGACTGAGCACCAGCACAGGTTGTCCAAGGAGGTTGCGGAGTCTCCACCCTTGGGGTTATTCAGAAGCCATCTGGAGATGGCCCTGGGCAACCAGGTCTAGATGGCCCTGCTTGAGCATGGGGTTGGACAAGATGACCTCCAGAGGTCCCTTGCAGCCTCACTCATTCTGTGATTCCTTGACACAGAAAAAAAGCAGGATGTGCAGGATGAAGGATTTAGCATGATCTCAACAAGCTTGTTTATAATGAAGCTTGTTATAGAGTACAATCTTCCTTGTCCTGCATACATTATTTACATTTCTTGAACTTAAATTGCTATAATTTGTCATATTTGATTGTTTCTCTTTAAATACAAGGCATGTGACAAAGGAGAATGCTTTTCTGCTGTCCATCATGACCCTGTTTTCACAGGATAACACCAGAGATGGTTGGTGCATGGCAGTGGCATGAAAGTGTAAGTTCAACAACTGCTACAATAGTATTGGAATATTATGGAATAATACTCAGGAATCTCCCAAGAGAAGATACAGCAAGCCATTGCTGTCCACATCTGTGGTATTTTTAAAAAAGGGATCTTGGAATGAATTACGTTCTCAGCCATTCATAGATTTCCTCCTAAAAACACCAAATTGAGGAACGAGGCAAATGATATATATTTTGTGTGGACACCACAAGAACCAGCACAGAGGACAGAAACCTTGTATCACAAATTCAGGAAAGCAGAATGAAAAAATATTTTCATGGATAGGAAACTACTTTATTTATTGAAACAGGATCTGATAGCATCACTATTTGTACATCATTCAGTGTTGCAAATTCCACACTGCTTAGCTGAGGAAAACCACTAAAACTATGTTTCAGAGGAAAGGCCAACTATCAGCCCAGCATAAATACAGCCAGCAGGAACCAAGGTTTTTCTAAAGCTTTGGGAAGCTGCAGAGCTCCATTTCAACTCTGCTTTCTTTCCAAGGCAACTCTGATTGTCACAGTCCTAACTGTAATGGAGTTCCTAAATGACAAGAAGGAGAGTTATTCTCAGGGATAGGGATTACTGTGTTGGATATGAATTTCTTCCAGGCTATGTCACAGCTACAAGTAGGAAAACTTATGTTTTAATACCTGTACGTAAGTGGGTGCTTTTTTTTTTGTACTAAAACAGGATCCTAAAACTATGCAATGTAAACACTTTAAACCTTGACAGAGCTTTATTGTAATCCCAAATTTTGTACTCCAGGTACTAAGGAAACTTTTTTTCCTTACAGACGTCTAAAATTTAGCTCTGAAGTAAACTTTTCAACCCTAATACAGCATCTAAATAATGATGTTATCTTCAGAGATGGTGCATACCAGCAACTTCCAGGCAAACCATCAGGAACAGCTGCTGCTCAGGAACTGCATACGGCACAGTTTTGCATGTAGGAGCCACCTATTTGTAGTTCTAGGTTTATAATATCAGACTTCTAGATTTGAGAATGTAATCCAAGTTTTAAATAATAAAGCTTGTCTTTAAAAGGTCTGTTCTGTATAGTAACTTGAGAATAGAAAACTTACCTAGCACATGCCTAATTTTAAATCAATCTACAATAAAAGCCCATCTTATTTTCTTTGAGGCTTATAATTAGTTATTTTTAATATAAGCAATGGAATTATCAGTATAGGTTTACATAACAAATTGGAATGTTTTAGACCTAAATTGTCAATCACACAAAGAAAGTATAAGGTAAATCAGTTCCTTAAGTGGAACTCACAGAAGCTTCCTTTAAGCTCAGTTTCAGTTCTGAAGATTAATAAATAGCAGCATTTGTGAAGTCTTTTTATTTGTTCAATTTACAAGAATCGTGAAACATTACCTTAGAATAATGAACTTTCATACAGTCATATTGGCATTCACTACAAAAGACTGAGATACAATCAGGAAAAAAAATAGTTCGCTAATTTGGTAAGAAAAAAGCTTCAGATTCTTGTATAAATTTCATCTGTTTTGTGGAGAAAGTGAAATGATAGCATATTAATAAAAGACTTCTTGTCTTGGGTAAAGAAGAGTAAAATCTGTGTTGATTAAATGGACTTGAGCAAGTTTCAAGATAAAATAATTTATTATTAAAACTTTAGAATACTTGCAAAACAGAAAATATGCGTAAGTAACAGTACACATTAAAACAAGGATTAAAAAAAATAAAATGAAGCACAAGGTTTAGAGGAAGTTAGGAAGAAAATAGTAAATCTAAAGCATTGTGTTTTGAATGAGGAACAAAAAATACATTAGCTTACAGAAACCAACTTGTATTAACTTCACAAACATGAAGACTTCTAAAGAACCATTTTTCTGTAAACACTTCTTACTTCATACATTTTATTCAGAACATTCAGAACATTTCACTCTAGGAAACAGAACTGAGCATATAATAAGCTAGCTTTCTCTTGGCATCTAAATTAAGCAATTATGATTTAAAATATGTGCTTAGTATGAACTGTAGCAGTTGTTTAATTGACACATAATTTTCTCCTTGAATTCCAGGAACAGAATATGTCACAGTTTTGGGAGATTCTGTATTTAAAAATAAGGTTTCAAACCTTACCAGATACCATCTTCAGCTTAATATTTTCCCAATATGGGTTCTACCCACATATAATTTCACTTTTTTGCCATGCTAGCTTTTTCTAAGGAGCATAAAATAATAACAACAAAATTACTGTAAAATAAAGCTTTCTTTAGAGTTAAGTCAGTATGACTTTTTTGCTTAATACATTAGCAAGTATCTTCAGACGAGAGCATGTATTTCAAATCCAGTTAGGCAGACAGATGCATGTTTGTAAAGTGCTTTTGGATAAAATAAACAGCTACAAAAGCAAGAAACATCAGTGATGCTCTTAAAACTACAAGAGCAATACAAGCCTCATCGCATACGATTCTGAACTCCGAAGGGGGGTGCCATCTTGAATAATCTATAAATAAGCATCTAAATATAAGATTCATTCGGAGTACATAACTGAGGAATTTAAATAGCAATGTAAAATTGTAATACATACAGATAATTTTGTCACGTTCTGGATTTCCTGCAAAGAGGGGAAAAAAAATCCAGTTTTACCAGCCAGCCATGATTTCTCTCCTTAAATCTTTACTATCTAGCTAAAGCAAACTCATCAGATTTACAGAATTTGAAAAAATCTGAGAATTCCCACTGATAAACCTTACAAATAAAACAAAAGCTAACATGTTTTGATAAAAACTAAAAACAATACTTCAAAATATTAATGTCTCCATAAAGCTATAATTGCTTGTAACAATGACACAGATGGGGGAGAGGGACATATTATACAGCTCCTTTATTTTGAGTTTGAGCCCTCTCTCCTTTGTCTTTCTCAAAATAACAAATATCCTTTAATATTCAGAATATATACATGAGCCAGCAAATACTATCAAATACAATTTTATGGATGAGAATGGATTTCCTAAGTGGGGCCTAATCCTGGGATCAAGTATAACTTGGTATTCCTTTTACCTGTATCAGAGGTGTCTGCTACCTAAAAATTAAGACTTACAGGATTGCTAAATGTTTTGAAAGCTATACTAATACATATATGGAGCAAATATAGTAACTGTTAAACAGAAACCACAAGTCTTACTCAGAGTTTATTAAATGAAACTTAAAAACGTGTGTCCTAACTGTAGCCACAGGAAAGTTCTGGCTTGTGACTTCCCAGGAGGTGGAAGTTGCCAGGTCTAGACCTTCCTACCGTTTCTTGATGTTTCACTCCATCAAAATACAAAGCATACTTAGCAATTCATGACTCTAATACACTTTCTTAACAAGAATAGACTTAAAAGAATTACTCCACTTAAGGAATGAATCCTATTTGTCAGGGGGAAATACTTAATAGTGAGAGAATTATATCAGTATGCTGCCCCTTTTCCCAAAGACACAATCAGGTAAGAAAGACAATGTGCCTCTGTGAATAATTTCTAACTCTAGCAGAAATTACAGACCCGGAATGACTTTCACACAGTTATTGTGACTGCTTACATATAAGTATAAGCATCAACTGTACTTATGCTTGAATGTAATTTTGCTGTGGCTGCACAAAACAGTCACAATAGTCTCAGTAACCCCAATTTAAATATTTCAGTCTAAATACACGCTTAGCAGTTTCTGGAGTCCTATGAGACTATACAAGAGTTGCTGCTAAATGGTACTTTGACAAGGATGTATTTAGATGCTGATTTCTTTGACATGATTAGTGAAGTCAGCAGAGTATCAGAGTGCAATAAAAACAATAATACATTTAACTACTATCATTAATTATACCTGTCTATAATCAAATTAAGACATCATAATGATAACTTATGCTCAGATTCAGTAAGATAGGAACTAGCTATTTGTTTCCTGAATGTAAAAGGCTTTAAGAACAGTTTTAAATTACTTGTGAATTGGACCTGAGAGCGCACCATCAAGGAGTAAACTACAGCTTGTAACATTCTTTATCAAGTAGGTGGCTGTATTATTTCCTTTTACATATTACATTTTACATTTGCTTCTACTTACTACACAGTTTATTTTCACAGGTGTCCCCTTTTCCACATTTACTGCATGGTTTTCCTGTTACATATGGTCTTCTTGGAGAATTACCCCTACATAAAGGAAAAGTTTCATACATAATTTTAAATGATTTGTTAAATATCTTAAATAATTTGTTGAAGTAAATATCCTGAAAATACAATAAATTACTGACAATTCTTTAAAAACATCAGAATAATTTTCCTTCTTTTCATTTTCAGTGTTCCGTCCCTGTGAAACAAAAGAATCTTAAAAAGCTATTATTTTTCTTATAGGAAAATACTCAGGCTTTTATTCAAATTTTACATTGGTACATGAACTATTACAATAAAATGTTCTGGATGGAGCTTGGTTTTAACTGAGGAAAAATGAGGATTTTAGAGTGGAAAACTTTAAAGCTGACACACTCCCAAATAACTTAAAACAAACTATTTGGCAAAAAAAGAATTCTTGTGAGCTACTGTTGAATTATAACCTTGAGAAACAAGACATTCATTCCATGAAACGCAAATGTCTAAGAGCAAGTATGCGGTCTTAGTGAAGACAGTGGCATCCTTACATGCTAAAGTACCTCATCCCAGCACAGCCAAACTGTTTAAGTATTAAGACTATGAGGACCAGCTGAGAGAGCTGGGGCTGTTCAACCCGGAGAAGAGAAGGCTGCGAGGAGACCTTATTGCAATCTTCCAATTCCTGAAGGGGTCCTACAGGAAAGCTGGGGAGGGACGTTTTACAAGGGCAGGTAGTGATAGAACAAGGGAGAATGGTTTTAAACTGGAAGAGGGAAGATTTAAACTAGATACTAGGACAAAATTCTTTACTGTGAGAGTGGTGAGACACTGGCATAGGTTGCCCGGGGAAGTTGTGGGTGACCTCTCCCTGGCAGTGTTCAAGGCCAGGTTGAATGGGGCTTTGGGCAACCTGATCTAGTGGGAGGTGTCCCTGCCCATGGCAGGGGGGTTGGACTGGATGAACTTTAAGGTGCCTTCCAACCCAAACCATTCCATGATTCTAAGTAGATTCTAAGATCAGACCACAGTACTTACCACTGCACATTCTCAGAAAGGCCTTATACATATCACTGATGAAAATTATAATGTGGATACCATCATCCTTGCTGCCTATGCTATACAACTCAGTAATGGAAAACACGGTATCCAGTCTATGCCACAACCGTTCAAAAATGTGAAGCAATGCTATGTTTCACAGTCTGGGAACTCAGGGACAGATTTAGTCCTCTCAAAGGACTGTGGGCTATTATAGTTAGGCTTGTTTGTCACTCTACTCACTTCCATAGTGGGCACATCTTAAAGGAAGTAATTTCCACCAAGACCTGTGATAATTCTTTCAGGATTCTCAGTCTGTATTTACACTATCATCTACATTTATAAACGAGAGCTACTCACCAGACATACAGATGTAAGTTGGTATAACATTGTTGTACAAGATGGAGGGAGAACACCACCCTGAAAGATTACCTCCAACTTACTTGCTACTATTCTTCTTTGAAATGTCTTTTATATACGTTCACCCATAGGTATACTATTGGCCTGAGTTTTATCCCAGCAGCATCTGCAGAACTACATGTCCTTACATGCAGTCTGGGCAGTAGGAAAATAGAAGGGGGATCTTCTGATCCCAAGAACTGAATGTACGTTTTGAACTCATCGGGGAAGAGCAGGAAAGATAACTGTTAAAACAGATGTATATATAAATAGCTAAGAAAAGAAAAAGTTACATTTTTAATAGCATATCTTCTGGCTGAGTCTCCATATATACATTCACAGCATGGTTGAGCTACAAACAGTAGCTCACCAGATTACCTTAAAAAGGGTCTCAGAATCCAGAATAAGAAAGACTGAAGGACAAAGTGTTGCTTCTAGAAGCTCTGGTAAGAGCATAATGCCTCATAAGAGTGTGAAAGCAGCCCCACTTGGTGACTGTGCACATTTCAATTGCAGTAATGTAATACAAAGAAGCCACAGATGTTGTTTGAGCTGCAATTCAGCAAGTCTTTCTTGGTATCAAAGGCTTCCACTGTAAGTGATAATTACACTATTACTTCACACAGTTCATAATCCACTGTGAAATTCCCTTTGAGAAGACTGTCAAAACTCTCAGCCACAGATCCAGAGACATGAATGGCCTTGCCTTTTTCTCGAGAGGCCTTATCTTGTCATTACAAATAAGTAAACTTATCTCTCTGTCTGTCTATCTACAGATTGGTTAACACCTAGGTTGTAGACTGCTGCCTCACTGAGAAGGTGTAAAGAGTGGGGAAAAAAGGCACAAATAACTAGGTAAAAGAAAACAATTAGTTGGGAAACCCTTCTAGGAGGTTGAGAGAATGTCCAGTAAGCTATGTGACATCCTACAACACGCTTTCAAGGGCATTTCTAAGACTCTGCTACTCTTCAAACAGAATACTAAGGACCATATTAAGGGTCCTCTTAGAAGCAAAGGTTTCTTGGACACAATAGATAAAGGGGGAGGTAGGTAGAAGAGATGAGAAGAACAGCATGATGATCAGAGTCTGGTAGCAAGGCTGTGGCAACTAACTTGGGGCATGAGAATGATGACACAACAGGGCATGTTCCAAAGTAGTGCACACCTCTCTTTAAACACGGGGAAGGATACTCTGGGCATCTCACATGGATGATCACAGCAGCAGACCTTCAGAAAAGGTCTATAGGACTACACTGTAAAACTGCTCCACTGAATAAAGTCATTTTGGCAAGGTGGTCCTCAAATTAGTGCACCCTCAACTCTGAAAATAAACTGCTCTCTAGCAGGATATGTGAGCACTAAGGCTCCAAACCTCAAGAAGCAGTCATGAAGGTCAAGTCAGGAAGGCTGTTCCAGTATCTGGAGTGTGGTGATGAATGGTGGCAAAGTTAAGGTTTACCTATTTTTTCAGACCTTTTAGGAAGGGATAAGGCTGTTAGAAGATGGTGTGTCTGCTCCAACTTGACTTGTTTCTGTGGTGACATAGAGATCAGTGTTCTTCATCTTTGACAGCCATTCAGCTTAGCTATCAGTTCTCCAGGATGTGACAACACACCAAACCACCACAGTATGTTGCTACAGATTTAAAAAGTCTCAAGTGACAAGGCTTTACAGATCACTGTTGATGTCAATTAGTCATTATTCTGCACAGGCAGCTGGAAACATATTAGTTAAGGTTTTAAAAAGAAAACAACAATGAAGTTCCACATCCCAGCAAGTTTCAAAGTAACAATTCAAGTACAAGTCTAATTTTGTGATACAGGAAGAGATATGGGCAGGGCTCAATTAAATTTTAGTTCAGGCTAATTGAACTCCCCAGTAGTGGCTCAGGCTTGTTAGAAGAAAGAGAAAAAACAGCTGTCATGCAAGCTCACTAGCTATGTACAGATTAAAAACTACAAATGGATTGCATATGCCCGTGCTTGATTATAGACTGTGCATTATTATGAGACAAAACACATTAGTTTAAAACTATCTGCCCCTGTGTTCTCAAACTTCTGCTTTAGGAACAGCACTGGCTGGGGCCTATGTTTTTTCAGAATATGAATTTAAATGTAAAATCACAGGTTGCAGTTAACTTTTTCTTGCTTTGATCATTTACTGTTTTCTAATGCTTAAATAACATTTGCTATAATCACAGCTATTAAACAGGCAAGAAATTATAATGTAATTTTGTTTTACTCAGTTAAACGGAAAGGAAAAGCAATCGATCTAACAACTGTGCTATTATCTGTATAATTTCTAAGAAAAAAAATAGAAATACAGTGTAAACAGATAAAGTGCAATTAAAAACGTGTAAAACTACAAGAGGTAATTGTAGCTGACAGCAGCTACCTGCAGGAACTTTCTAATTTCTTCTGTTTCATATGAAAAATAAATCAATGAAATGGAGCATGTGCTAAATTTGGGGTTTATTTGCTTAAGACTAGCACAGAATGAGATTTATCAGTAAACTGTGCAACCTAGTCTAGGTCCTGTGCAACCTAGTCTAGGTGATCCTGCTCTGGCAGAGGGTTGGACTGGATGATCTTTCGAGGTCCCTTCCAACTCCTAATATTCTGTGATTCTGTGATTAAAAAATTAAACAAGTACATGTTCTAATGCTCACAGCTCTCCTGATAACTGAATTAGACAACCATAATTTTCTCCACTTGCATTTACAAGACGACAAATAAATAAACCAAATTTACTTTCAGAAAAATGCCATCACAATTGCTTTCTTTTTTCTTTTTTTTTCTTAAAAACATTGAAACTAGTAACTTACCCTGGTGAATAATTGCAAATAAAATTTGCTGCATTTCGTATTCCTCTAACTTCCTTACATAGAGTAACAGCACAGCCTATTTTATATGAATAGTCCCAAACAACCTTAAAAAAAAAGGTTTTAAAATAAATTAAAAATTACACTCAGCAGTAACCTAGTCTAAAGTCTAGAAAGTTTCCGTTATTCTCAGAGATCCAACATATTTTATTTTGCACCATCTGATCTTTTTACACATTTAAAAGTAAACTGCGGGTAAGCGCGCTTCTTAAGATGAACTTCTAAATATCCACCACTCAAGATGAAGTGACCTATGCTCCAAGTTTCCAGAATCTTTTACAGAGCATTTTCACTAAGAGTCACTGACTTAACGATTCAGGGGTAGAATCCAAGGAACAAAAGGGAAATTAGGGGCAAATACCCAACAGCTCCTTTAATTAATTTCAACATTCATAACTCAGGTCTACAAGAAGGGCTTCTCCTGTGTGCTAGAAGCGGCCTGGATGATTACTACTGTAGATTTAAATCTGAAAGCTTTAGCACTGCACATTTTCAGACTAATGAGTGTTATCTGCCATGCTTAAGATGATTTACTATCTATCAGCTACAGTTCGGGCATCTGCTTTTTCCTGGGAGATTCTTCCTATACCTTCTGCATATGACTAACCAAACTGTACCACATTCAGGTAAAAATGTTTAACTATATACCTAGAACATCTGGATGATCATACACTCCACATCTGGAAAGCTTAAAGACATAGCAGGTTATTCTCAGGATCTGCCCGGTACGAAGAGTACAGGCCTCAGGTGTCCCTCAAGTTCCATTTCTTCAATTATTACAAGAAGATGTAGTTATGTTCAGCAGATTAAACTTTTCTTAGAAAAGGATCTTAATTTTTAATGTGGTGGTAGCTGAATCCTCAATGAAGGCCTAATTCAGGGACCTTTATGTAACAGTTTCATATGCTTTTTGGACATTTCCACCATTTTGAGATTTTTGTGTAGTGGTTCTCTCAACAGGTCTACACAGCTTAACTATTTATGATTTGTAAGTTTTAGCCATTTTCAATATGGTCTGAGCCTTCAAGACCATGATGGCTCCTGGATCATGCAGGGACTTTGCTTCTCAATTCTTACGACATGTTCATTGGTGTTTAACCTGTGGAGTCTGCTTGGTTTTTCCAGTGATTAGTTTCCTTTGTAATCCTGTCTGAAATACAGCCTGAAATGCATGACCATTGTGACACAACTTAACCACGTGTAACAAGAAAGCAGCAAGCGATCTTTATCAGGGGAAAGCAAGCTTAGAAGTGAACATGACTCCAAGACAAATATGCAAAAGCCTCCAGAATTCTATGTGGATAAGTCTGAACAACAAATTTCAAAAATGCTACGAAGTACCTTGCTACATAACTTTTTATATTCTGTCGTGCCAGAGAAAAAAGGAAAAATCCTTTTCCTGAGATATTGTCTAGTTCTAATGGTCTAAAGATTTACTGCCCAAAAACTAGCAAAACTTAAATTCTCTAGCCTTGCTTTTGAGTTTGTTACAGGCAGAAGCAGGGGTGGGAAACAAGAATTAAGACTTGAGGAGAAATAAGGAGGACAAGACATAAAAAGAGGTGCAAAAACTCTGAAACAGAAAATGCTTTGTATGTGATTCTGGTAACTTGAAGTATTTTCATTTCGTGATCCTAATTCTTCTCCAAAAGAATGTTGCAGCTACTGTTGTGTCCATTAGCAGTTTCACTGTAAGTATACTGCACGGTATTTTTATCTGTAATTTTCAGGGAGAGGAGTCTAAGATCATGGAATACTAAGAAATTAAAGAGTCACTTTTACTAGATAAGATCTGACTCAACATTACCTTGTTTTAGATAAGTGACATATGTGTTTGGTCATAGATGAAACTAATTCTACTGCAAAGGTTACTTTTAAAATATGGATATATTAAAATACTGTTTAAAACAGTAAGTGTTCAAAGAAAAGTTTTACGTTCTCAGCAGAATTAAGTTTGTCAGAATTACGAGTACTCAGATCATAAATTGCCTCTTCTGTTGTTGATACTCTCCCAACCCCTTCCTTTTTTACAAGATTTGTAAAGCATACAATTTACTTCACTGGGTTTTCTCCTTCTGTTAAAATTTCTACTAAAGAGTTTCCACACAGTCCACAATTACTGTGGTTATTTTGAAGAACATCTCCAAACTTACAGAATTCAGAAATGTGTGGCTTCGTAGCTAGAGAACTTGAAATGATTATTACAGAAAAACTTCTACACTGAAAGGGTTACCAAAGACTGGAACAGGCCGCCCAGAGAAGTGGCTGAATCACCATCCTTGTATGTACTTAAGTGCCATTGAGATGTTGTGCTCAGGGACATGGTTTAGAAGGGGGCATAGTAGAGTTAGATAAGGGTTGGACCTGATGATCTTAAAGGTCTTTTCCAACCATAACGATTCTGTGATTCTATTATTATATATATAGGACATTTTACTGAAGATAACTCTCACCTGAGTGTAATGATCACAAACCCGAGTACATTTCTGCTCTGCAAAAGTATAGAAATTGACCTCATTATACCAGGATTTAATGGCGCTAGCAACGCTGAATGTTTGACAACTTCCAGTCCAAATATTCTCTCCAATAGATGTGAAATTAGGATGGCACTGATGTTTCTTATTTAAGTGTATGTTATGCTCAGAAATGCATTTTATCTGCCCATGCCCTTGCAGTCCTTGCCAAAGCTGCATCCCAAGTCTGCAAAACATGAAAGGTTAAACAGTTGTGCAACGTTACATTACAAACGGATCTTAAAAAATCAGATAAAACCAGTCAGACAATAAAGCACACACAGATAGATATAATATACAAATATTTCATAAATAAATATTTTCCCTTATTTAGCCAAGCACCCATCATATTCATTGAGTCACAGGAATGTGGCAGCACAGATATATGAACTAATTTCATTAGACGAGTTTTTTCCCCCCCTTCACTGTTGAAAATTACCTTTGTAACAGCACTTGCTAGCAACTGAAAAGTGTTTCGAAATGCACTTTTATCTTCAGATAAGAAATTACTGTCATATTAATTAAACTTGGGTTTTTTTTGTTGAACAGGTCATTAAGGATTTCTATTACAAACATAAAAATTAATTCAAAGTTAAAATGCACAGCTACTACAGTCAGATGTGTAATTAAAGTATTTTTAAGAGAGCCTTCAGAAAAAAATCTTACTCCTCTTACAGCAAAGCTTTAAATACACATCGGAGCATTTTTCAAAGACAGATTCATGAGGTAAACACGCCAACTTTTGGCCAGTAATTCATTCTACTACCTCTTACTTCTTTGCAGTCTGTCACTGTTAACACAACTTCTGATTCCTGAACATGAACGACCTTTGGTATTTTTCTTCCAGTCATGACTGTTTTTCAGCCATTTTCTTCTATCACTACAGCACCTAGTTTTATGATGGTTTATTGCCTAGGTTTATTTGTGTTAGTACATTCCAGTTGACTCAGTCTCTATGCAGATCTTACAGTAACTTCAGTGGCTCTACACTCCAATACCGTTTTCTCCCTTCGACCTTTAGAATTTTCTAACCATATTTCTACATGCATAATTTATTCAGAATTTTTCCTGATGTTCCTATTCCTGAGTACTAAAACTGGGTGCAATGTCTTCCACAAGCTTCTTCACTTTCAAGGTTATACCTTTTTATCTGCCATTCTGGCTTCAAACCTCTCCAAGCAAACAGCATTCTTTGCCATCAGTATCTGAGTATGTGTGTGTGCCCAAGCATCCCTTAGCTTCTCACTGCTCACATTTTCCTCTGGTGATACAAAGCAGACTAAACATCAAACATCCACATTTCTGCATCTTCAGTTTCGTTTAACCTTTTCCAGCAAAAATTTTTGAGTACTATTTGTTCTGGTTATAAGCAAAGGTTCTTCTTTGCCACCAGAAAACCCATTTAGCTCCAGCACTACAGTTCATATCTTTGCTTTTGATAGCGAGCCTAACCGTTCTGGATCACTCCTGCTGCTGGACCATTGGTTCCTCCTAAGGAAAAACTCCTTGGGGTGAAATGTGAAGACCTTCAGCTTGCCTGCATTACTGCATCCTCACCCGGCCTGTTTTTTCTAGATTCACCTGTCTACAACTGACTCAGTTTGTTACAGTATTTCTTGTCAAACGAACCTGATGATATATGAACTGGGCCTGCTCACTTCACCCAGAGACCTCTGGTCCACTATCCCACCCTCCTGCCAGCGGGGCTCTGAAGCCAGCTGTGCACCCCCAGGCCTGTCCATACCATGTACCGCATGTTGCTGGCGGGCGGCTGGACTCGGGCGCGGAGCTCGTTGTGCATATACATGCACTCCTGCACAAATGCCTCATCTGTGATGTGGGGTAAGGAAGGTAACGGCCTGCCTGTAGCCTTCAACAC